TTTGTCGTATTTGGATGGACTATTACTGGAATCGCACACTCGATCCCTATTGGTTTTAATCTCACTTTGCCTTGGTCAGGAGGCAGGAGTTAGACATACCTAGGGGGAATTTGTATTTAAAAAAAGGTGTTTTACGCACTAAAAGGAAATTCCAGCATTAGTATTTCTAAGAAATTTCCAATCAGTTTTCTTCTCTATTACTGCGTTTACGTAAAGGTGGATAGAAAAGTGGGTCCAAAATTGTTCCAAAGGAGCATAAGAGATTAAACAGAATTGGATGGACATTATCAAAATGAATTAGTATTTTAAGTTGATTTCACTCATCGAATTTGGATATTGACAGCAGAGCTGCTACAATTTGTCTTTTGGATGGAATCCCATTGTAAAATGGGACTCCACTTAAGATCCTTATGCCGTACCTGGGGAGAGGTCGTTAGTGAGTGAAATGAATAGTGTGTCATACGTGGCCTAGGAGCAATTCGCAAGATTAGTGTCAAACAATGTAAAATTAGACGATAGGTTGAATAGTTAATAAGGCCAATATTTTCTCTACATTTTTTGCATAATTAATACGATTTCATTTGCATGGCGGATGGGATCGGATCTCTCCATATCAGGAGGAACATCGTAACCATTGTTAGTGCTTTCTGTCTGCGCTTGCTCAATACCACGATCATATGGTCATACACATTTATCTTTTACCTTCCACGCTACAACGTCCTAAAAAGTTGAGGATTGCTAAAATGACACAACTTTGATACAGGATAAAAACCTGAACCTCTTATACGACCCAGCGCCACTCTAAGATTTGACAGTAACAAGTCAGTGCTAGTTCTCCATGTTAAAACGAATTACGCACATTATAACATTTGTGATTAAACTTAACAAAGTCAAAACTGTTTAATCTTATGGAAAGGAAACAAGTACTGAAGACTACTTAGTGTCATCTGAATAGGCTCATGGATTACATATGAAAAAATTGGTGAATACTGGTGTCAACATAACCATGCTACTAGAATAATGACCAATGCTGCAAGAAAGTAACTCTCATTTCCTTGAGGACAATCCTATATCTTTACAGAGAACCGACAACCAATAATCAAATCCATAACAGAAGAAATAAGATAATATTGATTGTCAGTGCTACGGCCCATTAAAGGTTTGATTAAAGCGCCCGAGTACCGCAAAAAATCATGCATCATCTGGGAAAGGTTTAATTTGAAAGATAGGGCTAGTACAATAGTCATTGTCATAGTCATAGGTCATTGTGTTCCTTTGTGACCTATTGTAGTGGCTTATCTGCTTTTATTTAATGGCTACCTGTGATTTGGTGCTTAGCAGCAAGGGCAGGGCAACAGCGGGGCCACCGCGGTCGCTGCGGTGTTTGTTGTGCCTAGGGCACCCACGGAACACCCGCACCCCACACTAACGCCGCGTTTGGGTGTACCTGATAAGCCCACTTGCTGACACTCTTTATGCCTTCTACTCTATCCATTCATTCATACAAATTGCATATGTCTATCCTCAATTCATTCTTTCCTACCATTTCGCACATATTTATCTCTATAACACTCTTCTTTGCCTTTATAATTCACCTCTACACCTCTCGCCTCCTACTGCTCACTACTCATGCTCTTAGAGTAGCCCTCATTACTCTTTCTCGCCTTCTGTTCACCTCTTTGCTTGCCTTTCTGTCCTACATGCATCATACATATGTTTATAGACACACATACACTTGTTCATTTCTCCTCTCACATTCACCACCCACCATTTCTCCCTCATCATTTCTTTTTCTTACCACTGCACTTCTCTTCCATCCCCGTCTACTTGTCTTTCTTTGTTTACCCCTATTACTTTTCTTTTTATTACTTCTCCCCACTACAAATACAATCTCCTATCCCATTAGTCATATTCATCTGTCTCCCTCTTCCTCCTCTTCTTCTTCTTTTCCATCTTTTCATTCTTCTTCTCTTTCCTTTTTTCCCATTATCCACATCCCTAAGCAGTTACTCTTAATTTTAGCCTCTATTTTACTTTCCTATCTGCCATTGACAGAACTCTACATACGCACGCTCTATTCCCCTACTTAGCAATAATGTCCCACTTTCTCTACATCATACTTATCAATAGAGGCTACGTAGATTGCTTCTCCCTCTTCTATCTACTTATATTATTGCTTTTTTATCACTATATTAGCATATTACTTACGTCCTTTATTTTTCTTCACTATTTTGATTAAAAACAAGTATCTGTTGCTTTGTTTCTCATTTTTTGCACTATTTACTCTATATTTTACCTTCTACTTTCAAAATCCACCTTTCTTTTCCCCTTATTTTTTTCCCTATTAATTTTCTTTTATCCGTCGTTATATTAACATGTAGCTCTTTTAATTGTTAAACTTTAGCATTCTTTTAGCTTATTCCTCTATTTTTTTACTTTGCTTTACTTTTTTAGTGCTTTTAATAAAAACCTCGGTTACTGTGCTTGTTGTTCTGCACAACGGTCAAACGACTGCTGCCAATTACCTTCGCGTCGCGTTTGTTATATATTTTGCTCCTCTTCGTACAGTGGCTGCAGGCTCTTGACGTGTTAAAGAAGAGGCTAATTCCCTTTTCTATTCCACTCCCCTTCTTCATCACAACTACGTTCAGGGTCTCATTTTAACCACAGTTTGTCTCTCTCGTGGACCATTATTCCATAAGCATGAATGACGATGACCTTTTTCAAAAATTCCAACCGCCAATCTCGCCTTCTATATCGCTTCTCACATTACTCAGGTAAGCTATCTTTGCCTCTTATCACTTCTTTTTATGCCGTTTCTATCAGTTTGCCCTTTATATCATTTTTTCACTTCAACACTTCTTTCTCTTCTTTTTTATTCGTCGTTATCACCTTCTCTCTTCTTCTCTTTTCCTTCTTTTATTTGCATTTCACTATTTATGTTTCTGCTATGCGATGACGTCCCCTTCCCGTTAACAGCACTTCTTTTTACATTATACGGTGCCGTTTATGTTTCACTTAGTATCAAGTACACCGATTACTACCTTTTATTTCTCCCCTTTTTCTCATTTCCTTACATAAAACAGTACTACTTTCTTTATATCTTGGGCTGCATGTTAAAGGAGGCCTAATTTCTCCTTATAATCGTCTCCTTCTCCTCTTCTTCACAACAATTGCGTTTTGCTTCTTTTTTAGACGACCACCATTTGCCTCTCTCCCATGGACCATTAAGCATTGCTCCGTCAGCATAAATGATGATTCTCCAGCAATTCCTGCAGCACATTACTTGGGTAAGGTACATTTGTCATTTATCACTTCTTACGCCTTTTCTATCATTTTTCCTCTCATATCATCTTCTTTCCGCATCATAACTATTTTCCATATTTTATATTTCGCCGTTGTCGCTTTCTATCTTCTTCTCTACCTTCTTTTGTTTTCACTTCAATGCTTGTCCCTTTCACGTTTTTATCACTTTCTTCTCTACCATAGGATGTTATTTATGCTTCACTTCCTGTCAAGTATGCCGATTACGTCTATTACTCCCTTTCGAACTTAAACATTACTAAGTTCTTTATTTGTTAGGCTGCAGATGTATTGCGTTTTGAAAGGAGACTCATTTTGTCTAATAATCGCCTCCTCCTCCTACTCCTCCTATTCACCATAATTACGTTTCGCTTCTCTTCTTTATACCAGCATTTGTCTCTTTCCCATGGACCATTATTCCATCAGCACGGATGATGTTTCTCCACCAATTACCACCGCCAATCCCCTCTTCTATCTAGCCTCGCACAGCTGGCCTAAGTAAGGAATACTTGTATTTCATCACTTCTTCTCATGCCTTTTATGCCATTTTCCTTTCATATCTTCAGTTTTGTTTCACACCACCATTACTTCTCTCCATATTTCTAAGTACCTCTCACTAATATTCACTTGTCTTTATCCTTTTCTACTCGTTTCTCTTTATCTTCTCCTACTTATACTTCCATGTTTATCTCGATGCCTTGCACTGACGTCCCTTCCACGTTAATCTTGGTTTTGGAAATTAAATTTATTTTTCCTCTTTGTCGTCGGCTTACATTAAATCGCAAAAGCAATTTCTGAGAGAGCCGTTTTTTAAATTTGCGCTAACTGGGCACTCCTCGTGAGCGCTAATCGTGTGTTTGTTTTGAAGAGTCCTTGCGTAGGCGTTTACTGTTTATGCAAATGGAAGCTGGGGTGGATTCGGTAAAATACTACGGATTTCCAAGAAAACATGGGGACTACAAGAAAAATGACTGAGAAAGTCTAGTCCGGGATGCGAATGGATTCCTGGGGCACTTGAAAGTCAGTGCTGGACTGAAATATTGTACCTGGAAGGTCTTGGACCTTTCTGGTTGATGAGATTAAAGCTGTTTAGAGCAGCATCTGGCTTACATTCCCTGCTGAAACTGGGTGCAAAAGTGGCGCACTGTCTTATTTGTGCTAGAGTAGTGTCTTGCTTGGAGAATCGGGGACGGAGAGGCCAACAAACCGATGCTACTTTACCTCCATTCTCTCATCTTTTATGTTCTTGTTCTTTGTATTTTTCATACATTATCTTGCATTTCTGTGCATAAGTTGTAAACTTCATGTGAATATACGAAGTCATGTGGGTTTTTTCCATATTTTATCAAATGACTTTTGAAGCAGGATGCTTATTTATTCTAGCGATTGCTTTGCAATATCCATGCTGATAAACTTTCAGTGGTTCTCTGCGACAGTGAACTTCATGTTGGTAACTGAGTGATAAATGTTTTGCTTTTATATTTAAATGCATGGACTTTTATTGACCGCAATTCCTTCCTCTCTATGGTTCCTTTCGTTAGTTCACACTGCCTTTCTCCGCTCCATAGTGGAGTGGCTGCATTGTTGGCAGTAGCATGGGGACCTGCTCCAAGACGACAAATACGCTACTGGTTTTTGTTGATTAACAAGTCTTAGTGTCTGAAAGGAAAGGAACTTTCGGTGGATAGAAGGGCTTTTGGGCCCGCGTCCTACTTTTCTATTGACACTCACTCTGGTATCGTGTTTGCGAGAAGACAGGTATCAAGTGATGCTGTGCCAACATTTTTATAAGCAATACAGACCCAAGTTCTATCGTCCGCAACTTGAACACCGAATTTGAGTTCTATCTGTAATTGTTCTTTCGGAAATCGAGAAAGTAGAGCTGATGTCTGCAAGTCAATTTCACCTGTATGCAAAAAACTTCGCAAGCATGCTTCATGATTTTTCTTTCCATACTCATGCATATGAAGGCCTCAGACATCAAATGGACCACGTGGACCATGTGGATCATTCGAAACGTAGTTTTCAAATGAAATGCATTGGCATTTCGTTTGATTAGAGCCAATGAAACCTCCGCGGTGTTTTCCTTGATGCGATTCGGGAGGTGGAAGATTTCCCACTGATTTAACTGATTTATT